CTGTTACTTCTACTGCTACTGCTACCACTACCACTACTGCTACTGTTACTACTGCTACTACTACCACTACCACTACTGCTACTACTACTAATACAACTGCTACTGCTACTACGACTACTACTGCTGCTACTGCTACTACTACTACAACTGCTGCTACTACTAGCACTACCACTACCACTACTAGTAGTACCACTGTACCACTACCACTATTGCTACTGCTACTTCTACCACTACTACTGCTACTACTACTACTACCACTACTGCTGCTGCTACTACTACCAATACTGCTACTACTACTACTACTACCACTACTGCTGCTGCTACTACTACTACCACTACTGCTGCTGCTACTACTACCACTACTGCTACTACTACTACTACTACCACTACTGCTGCTGCTACTACTACCACTACTGCTGCTGCTACTACTACCACTACTGCTGCTGCTACTACTACCACTACTGCTACTGCTACTACTACTGCTGCTGCTGCTGCTGCTGCTGCTGCTGCTGCTGCTGCTGCTACTACTACTACTACTACTACTACTACTACCACTACCACTACCACTGCTAATACTACTACTACTACTCAATTCAACTCAACTCTATTAATAAATCGCGCCTTACAGGCAAAAACATGCCACCAATGCGCTACACAGACCAAGAAAAAACATTAAACATTAGGTCCAGAAAATAAAAACATTGGATCACATGATACAGACAAAAAACACAGTGAATACACGGATCACTTTAAGTAAAACAATAGTTAGAAAGATTAAAAGACAGATCATAAAAGTAGGTTTTTAGCCTTGCCTTAAAAACTGCCACAGAGGTGAGAGGAAGCTCATTCCAGAGCTTAGGACCTGCCACAGCAAAGGCCCTATCACCATGCGTCTCTAGGCTCGATCTTGGGACCGAGAGGAGCATGAGGTTCGCCGAGCGGAGTGACCGTGCAGGGGTGTGCGGTTGAAGCAATGACACCAAGTAAGGAGGGGCCAAACAATTTAACGTTTTAAAAACCAGCAAAAGTATCTTAAAATGAATCCTTACATCAACGGGCAGCCAATGAAGCGCAGCCAGGACGGGGTAATGGGATCATACTTGCGCCTGCCCTCTAAAAATCTGGCAGCAGCATTCTGCACCATTTCCAACCTGGCTGTTGAGCCCTTGCTCACACCAAATAAAACAGAGTTACTACTACTACTACTACTACTACTACTGCTACTACTACCACTACCACTACTACATACTACTGCTACTACTACCACTACCACTACTACATACTACTGCTACTACTACCGCTACCACTACTGCTACTACTACGACTACTGCTACTACTACTACTTCTGCTACTACTACCACTACCACTACTACTACTACATACTACTGCTACTACTACTGCTACTACTGCTACTGCTACTACTACTACTACTACTTCTGCTACTACTACCACTACCACTACTACTACTACATACTACTGCTACTACTACCGCTACCACTACTGCTACTGCTACTGCTACTACTACTACTACTGCTACTGCTACCACTACTACTACTACTACTACTACTGCTGCTACTGCTACCACTACTACTACTACTACTACTGCTGCTACTGCTACCACTACTACTACTACTGCTGCTGCTGCGACTGCTACCACTACTACTACTACTGCTGCTACTACTGCTACCAGTACTACTACCACTACTACTACTACTACTACTGCTACCACTACTACTACTACTACTACTACTACTAATAATAATAATAATAATAATAAAGATGTAAAATAATCTGAGTTATGAATCAGTGTGATGTCACAGTCAATACACATGGTGTGTTTTGCCTTGATGGCAATTTGCAGATGTGTCAAAGGATAAAAATGTTTAAGTAAGAACATAAATAACAGGAACAACGAATAAAAAGAAGATTTAATAGTTTTTTTCATACTAAGCTTTGTTTCTGCATTCATTTTAGTTTTGAACCATATTTTCATCATGTTTTTAAAGACTATTTGATACAAACTTCCTCTGCAGTTTTCCAACCCACAAATCTTCTGTGTTTGCAGCACAAGTTCATTTTTAAGATCTTGGAGGGGATTTACGAATCTGCTGTGGACTTGATCTAATTCATGTAAAGCATCAAGTCTGAATTTACGATACTAAGTGTTGCTTTTTTGGTCCTAAGCTAGTCCTTCGAGGTGCTGATATGGCTCACTTCCTGTCTTTTTGCCCCAGGCTTAAGCAAAGTTGTTTTGACAGCTCCAGCAGCTTCCTCTGCTCACCGAGTCGGTGCCACCGAGCGCCGGCCCGGCTGACTGAAACACGCCAGGTGCATTTATGATGGATGGCTGACACGGCTGATTCCAGGCTTCTTGTACATACGATGGCTAACCTAAAACCTACAGACTCAGACATTTGTGAACCCAACAGCTACTGTGGTATTCCTCCCACATGCTATCTCTCTGCCTAACTGCTCACCAGTATGATGACAAACCCAGGAAATCCGCTGCCAAATCGGACGGATGACCGTCAATGACAATAAAACTCTAGAACACGTTTGACAAGTCGAGGCTGCAAAGGCAATAATTGGTGACCCTTGTCAAAGCCCGCGTGAAAGCTGGCAGAGGGTTTCTCCAAATTATCTCCTAACTTCTTGCCCTCCCATTCCCCCACCCTCGCCCAGCTTCGCCATAAAAGCTGCTCGGCTGAATCGATGCGATTATTAACTTGAACACAAAGGTGAGGGCGTTTTCCTTTCTTTTTTTTATCTATCAGAATAACAACAATGAGGAAGATTAATTGGCTGGTGGGCGAGCCGAGGAGAAGTCATGTTCAAATTGCATGCAGTAGGCAGTGATATTATTTCTGAGTAAGAGCCCTAACTACAGATCCCTGTATTAATAATGCAGAAGGACCCCAGGGGCAGCCATCTATTTGCACAACCCTCAAATGCACACGCACACACACACACACACACACACACACACGCACGCATGCACGCACGCACGCACACACACACACACACACACGCACAGAGCGACTTTAGCTTCATGCTATCAAGTCACTTGTCTTTGGGGAACATTTCCAGAACATTTTATGGCATTTTGTTTGCAGATATATTCATCAGACCTCTATGATTTTCTAGCAGACTGCTTGTTAACTCGCTCCTTTTCACTCATCTGTAAAAGAGCTGCTAAAATTCTGCATTTAGCTTAAAATTTTCTGCACAAATCGACTCTGCAGACGATAGTTTTTTTTCCACGTCGACCCCTTTATTTGCAAGCTGTTCTTTGACGCATTCTCTAAACAAGTCAAAGTAGCACGTTGATATAAATCGTCACACTAATGTGGACCCATTTATATCTTACAAACAACTAGAGCCGATGCTGAATGGCTGAGAATGGTAGATGGGTTCACACGCTGTGATTATCTTACTTTACCTCTAAGTGCAGAACACTTTGCAGAGAAAATGATCACTGTCAGATTTTTAATAGCTTGGTATTTATAACAATGGTTTTCTCTGGTAACATGAAGGCTAGCAGACATCAGAAAAGCCACATTAGCTCCCCACTGAGGACAATTACAGGAATAAACACAGAAAAAGACAATTTACAGAAGTAACTTTAGTTGAAACTTCCAAAGTCGTTGCCCCTCATCCTCGCTGCATCTCGTTGCTCACTTTATCATTTCTCATTTAATCAAACCTTGCAAATGTGGAGGTTAACTTGCAGAAATCTATGGCGCATATATGTGTTTTATTATATGCTCACTTTGCGTGAAGCATCTGAAATAATTACCTGGGTGGGAGCCGCTGTGAACTGAATGGTGATGAATTCCCACGCAGCTGAAAAATCTCAGTCAGTTCAGAACAATTATGTTAAATGCAGTTTTTATTCAAGTGCTGCAGCCTCCAGGTCTCTGCTTAGTTAGCTGCATTTATACATTTAAATGTGTGATTATAAAAACGCACGGCTCTACTCCCAGAGCTATTTTTCTAGTTTTAACCCTCGGTGCTAACTTACCGACCTTCGTCACTTCATTTGCATCACGCAGCAACTATGTCACTGTCGTGGATGTGTTATATGTTGCAGCTCCTTCACTACATAACATAACTTTGCTGCATATCTTCCATATGAAATAAACCAAAACACAGCCATAAATTGTTTGACTATATCAGAACTGAGGACTGGAACCATAAAAAGACCAATGTCTTTATAGCTGGCTTTTACTTACAGGGGAAATATTTACATTTTATCCAGTTTTCTATGGTTTTAAGATCGGATTTTATGCTAATATGCTTCACGTTGTTGATGCAAGTGCATCTACACGTTCTTAAACTACAATAAAACTCCTATCTGTGTATGCAGTACCCTCTGGCGCTTCGCCACTACTTCAAGTAGACTGCTGCACACACGAGCCTGTTATTTTGATGGGTGCAGATATGCAATACTTTAGGTTTATGGGCAAAGCTTTTCAAACTCCCCCCGGGAGTATTTCACATCTATCTCATGAGGCGTTACCAAGGCTTCTGCATTTATGGCCTCCCTCACATATGATGTGTTTGCTCGGAGACAAAAAAAAAACCAACAAACTGATAACAAATATGCCCTAGAGTTGCTATTTTTAAACAACACGTCATGACAGTAGTGGCAAGTTCAGCCAAGTTAATGAGTGCGGGTGTATATCCGGCAACCCTACCTAACTGGCTGCTGGCTTTGTTTTGACACGCGGGTGGCATCCTTGTTTCAAAAATTTCTCTCATACTTTTTTGCTCTCTGTGACAGAAAACCCAAGGAAAAAATTTGTGTTGCATTTACAAAAATAACATATTCTATATTCTGTGTGTAGGCCTCAGTATATAAGCATGTGTTATACATTTGTGCAACACGTTTCTCACATAAGGAACGTCAAATGAATATCTGTTGTGTCTTTCTGATCAGTGGGGTCCAAAAATGGTTCATGCTTGTGAGCTGATCTATCTCCGTTTCTGATTTCCTCTAGGAGAAGTTGTAGCCAGCGCCCAGTGTGTGGATGACCCTCCACCCACAGAGGAGAGTTGTGAGGTGGCCTGCTCTGCAGACTGTGTGGTTGGCTCCTGGTCCTTCTGGTCGGCCTGCTCGCACAGCTGTGCCACAAAGACCGCTGAGGGCAAACAGAGCCGCACTCGCACCATTTTGGCCATACCAGGCACCGGTAAGCCACAAATCCTTTAGATTGCGTTTGTCTCCTTTCTGGCTTGGTGCCAAAAATGAGCTTCTTTGTTTTTTAGTCACTTTAATTGTTTGAGATTTGCTGAAAAAGCTTATATTCCTGGTTACTTTGATTTACATGTAAAATATGTGACAGGGGCAACAGTGGGCCTCATTTCAAACTGAAGCAAGAGGTTAAAATTACATTTAAGTTTTCCATTTCTCCCCCTACTGGTTGAATGCAGAATTACAACCCTGCCACAGCCTGTTGTAGCAGGCGCTAACAACGAGCTAACGCTAACATAAGCGAACTGAAGCTAAATACGCTTCAAAGTAAAAAGATCCACACTGTTGACCCAAAAATATCATTACTTACAAGTCCAGTAGCAACAAAGCCAGGTCACCATCAGTCCGTGATTTTTTTAGCCTCCTTTAGCTCCCTCAAACTTTTGTAGGCTGATGTTCACTCTAGTTTTAGCTCCTTGCTTTACCTCCAAAGACACTCACTTTTAATTCCAGGCTTCACCATGATGCCAACAAAAACTGCAAAATTCCTGTACTTTTTATTGATGGTCAGCAAACAGAAAAAGCTAACTCCTAGCCTTTATATTAGCTAGCAGCACAGTAAACCACTATTGATGCAAAGCAGGTAGAAATCTCCCGCTAGTGTTTCTACCTGAACCACAAAACTGTTGAGTGACCTTTCTGGTCAGCAGAGGGCACAGTGCTGTCCAATGTAACGTTTCTGGCTCAAAGTAAGCTGGGGTGTGCTAATGAGGGATTCATAACAGGAAGGCAGAAACTTTAAGAGATTATAATAAAGAAAAATGGCGTTTGTGGAGTGTCACAATATAAATCAAAAACATTTCAAGAGCTGAAAGACAAAAATAACGAACAAGACTCAGCAAACCATAAAAAAATAAAGAAAAGATTGACTGAACGAGCGGTTTTACCAGAGTCGTTTCACCAGCACTGCAGTCTTATGGCTGTTTTCTAGATTTAAGAGACTCATGAAGACGTTTTTCATCTCAGAAAACATTTGAGGCTTGAGCTGACCATCCATTATCAGGAACTTTTCCTTAGGCGAGTGTTACTCGGTGCAGTCGGCACGCTGTGCTTTCGACTCAGACAGCCTTGGCAGTCATCTGCTGCCCATTAATCCCTGTAACTAAACACATATCAGCAATAGCAGCTGATGAAAGAATCTCGCAGCTTAAGCCAGGTTGTCAGATATCAGCTCGCTGGCAGAGGAGCTGTGAGTGGCTGCTAGAAGAGCTGCTTCAGTGTTTATATGTCTGCTTGTTGGTAACTCTGAGAGGTGGGGGTTGCAAAGCAAATCACGAGTGTTTTTACTCATTTATTTTCCTTAGACATTCACATTCTTCTGCAAGGTGTAGCTGTTCTGCAGGGGCAGTTCCAGGGGGAGTCAAGGGTGGACCAGTGCTAGCCTGACAGCGAGCTTGGACCCCTTGTGCCCCCCTTGCTGAGGGCAAAGCCAAATAATGCATAGATTTGGAGTTTTTTGTGTGATAATTTAGCCTTAATGCAACAATGTGAATGAAATTATCTGAAAGTTGAAAAAAGATGCCGACTTTTCACTGAGACAGATAACTAAGAAATCAAAATTCTGCCTTTTGTGTTTCCACCTAGACGGCAAAGCTTGTCCAGCAGCTCCAGCCCTGGAAGAGTGGCGAGTGTGCAACAACCATCCTTGCTCTGTATTTTACTGGAACGCCTCAACGTGGGGACCCTGTTTCGCTGACGTTAACGCAACAAGCTTCTGGAATGAGACGTCGGGCTGTACCGTTGGTGTCCAGCGTCGTAAAGTCAGCTGCACGAAGCAGAACGTCGGTCCTGTGGTGAACAAAAGGTACGCTCTCTGAGCGCAACATCCAGCTCACCAAATCCTTATCCTCTTGGCTAACGAACAGTTACGTCTGCAGGATTTCAAAGGGCAGCTGTTTACAAACCCTCACAGGTGTATATTGTTTTCTCATCACCAGATCCATCTTGGCTCTTGATTAAATTAAGTACATTGGTGGTTTCTACTTGTGTTGGAACTCAATTAGAATGTTTTTTTTTTCAAAAACACAGTTTTTCCTTTCTCACTTGTTGCATTGATTACTTTTAGATGCAACAGAATGAGTCCTATGACAAAGCAAGGAAGGATAATGAAAGAAAAAGAAAAACCTCCCTGAAAATCAAACGTCCACACACTAAAACTCTTATCGTAAGATGTCTAGCACATCGTTGTGCTATTCAAAATCACTCAGAAGACCACACACACTGTGAAGCCACATCCCTAGAGCTTAGTAAACTGACATCTTTCTTTATACATTCATTTTGTGAGGTTTTTTTATTCTTTAGTTCTCTTTCTCCCTGTTTCTGTGCATCCATGTATGTTTGAACCAGTGATTAATCTGGCTTCCTTTCCCCCATTATCCTTCTCTTTCAGCAATACAATATCAAACACTGCTAAGGGCTTTTGTGCTGTCACTTTAATGATGTTAAAGCATAAACCAGAAAGACAGATTTATAAATAATTCAAAAAGTTTGCCCTTCTTTGCCTCAACATATTATTGACAGGGCCATAAAATGGATTATGGAGGGTTTTTTCTCCCCCATGCTCGTCCTGTCTCCCACCACAAAAGCTTTAATGAAAGCTGTCATTTCTGCGCCACCAACAGATTTCTCCTGTACAGTGTGCTGTGAATTTAATCACTTTTCAGCTATTCATACAGCTGCAAAGTGTTCATTTAATGAAAACAACACCTGGAGCAGAGACCTGTTTTTTGGCATTAATCGAAGACAATGTTGACTGTTAGTAATGAGTTATTCTGGGTTTTTTGTGTGGTCTGGCAATCAAAATAACATATATGTTTTTTTCTGCACAGAAGAAAAAAACTAAAGTTCAATTAAATAAGGACTGCATGGAAGCATATTGCCGTCAAAACACAAGAGCAGTGTCTTGCTTTAACAAGAAACTTTCTCGTAACAACATGATTATTATTTTCTAATAACAAGTTAGCTCTGAATGCCAACGTCTCGCGAGATGTTTGAATCTTGCCCAGAGGAAACAAAGGGAGAAGACAGCCTTTATGCTAGCAATAGTTTACCAGAGGAGCATTTTCCTCCACACTTCTGTCAAGATGCCCTCACTTGGCTGTCTTGTCCACGCAAATTGGCTGTACTTCAACTTTTTAGTTAAGGTGGAACTTTTGTTGTAAAGGTTAACTTCCTTTGTGCTTTTTCACATAGAACAAGCAGAGGTGAGAGCTAGCACAGCGGAGAGTCACACCCTGTCCTGTCTCCCCGTTCTGTTCAGTCCTGTGTCCATGTTAATTGCTCCCACCTGCCTCTCGTTTCCCAATCACCCAAACTCCCAGCCCTCTTGTATTTAAACCCCTTCAGTTCTGTGTCTCTTGTTGGATCATTGTTTCTATGTCAGTGTGTTCCCGATTAAAATCCCTGTTTTAATGTTCCTGTCTGTCTGCCTGCCTGCCTCCTTCTTCACCCGCGTGTGGATCCTCACCTCCGTCTCACTCACCAGCACGCCTGACACGGAGCAGGCAGAGGAGAGAGCTTGCATATCAGAGCAGGCGGATAAGAGAGCTAGCGCAGCAGAGCAGCCATTTAAGAGCGCTAGCATAGCAGAGCAACCAGAGAAGAAAGCTAGCACAGCAGAGCAGCCAGAGAAGAGAGATAGTACAGCAGAGCAGACAAAGAAGAGAGCTAGCATAGCGGAGCAGACAGAGAAGAGAGCTAGCATAGCGGAGCAGACAGAGAAGAGAGCTAGCATAGCAGAGCAACCAGAGAAGAAAGCTAGCACAGCAGAGCAGCCAGAGAAGAGAGATAGTACAGCAGAGCAGACAAAGAAGAGAGCTAGCATAGCGGAGCAGACAGAGAAGAGAGCTAGCATAGCGGAGCAGACAGAGAAGAGAGCTAGCATAGCGGAGCAGACAAAGAGAGCTAGCATAGCGGAGCAGACAGAGAAGAGAGCTAGCATAGCGGAGCAGACAGAGAAGAGAGCTAGCATAGCGGAGCAGACAAAGAGAGCTAGCATAGCGGAGCAGACAGAGAAGAGAGCTAGCGAGGGTAAGTTCTTGAGTTAAACATCGTCGTTCAGTGGTTTTCCCCCTGTTGTGACATTGCTGCTGCTGCACTTCCTAAAAGAAAAGTTGAACAAAAACACGTGTTTTATAAGTTACTAGACTTTGCTCAGTGTCTTCATGCAATTAACAGGAATGTTTCAATGAGTGAGTGGGTCGTGGAGGATGGCTGCTTATACTGAGCCAGGATTCTCTGGAGGTTTCTTCCTGTTAAAAGGGAGTTTTCCTCTCCACTGTCGCTTTATGCTTGCTTAGTATGAGGATTGCTGTATAGTCACTGACACTAGTCAGTGACTTGATGCAATTTGCTGGGTTCCTTATATAGGACACATTATTTCTGATTGGTTTAATGAACTGACCTGAATTGGAATGTTTATTATGTGAAGTGCCTTGAGACGACTCTTGTCGTGATTTGGCGCTATATAAATAAACTTGAATTGAATTGAATTGAATTAATTCTATGATAAAAACTCAGTCCTGTTATTCTTTAAAACTAAAAAAATTCAGAAAACAAAAAATAAAATACTCTGAGTCTGAGATGGTGAATGCCTATTAAATATTTTGATATCTATATTACTTAATTCAGTTAAAAAAAAGATGATTTTTACTTATAAGTAAGCAGCACCTTTTTGGTGGAACAACCCTAAAACGATCATCACAAGAACAGTTCTTGTTTTATACAACATAACGAGACACTCTTATGCTACTATATTGTTTCCCTTCCACAGATGGCAATGCACTTCTGTATAAATCAGCCTCTTTTATTGATTTTCCCCCTCAAATGCAAACATCTCCTCTGTATTTCTGAATTGTCCCCATCTGAAGAGCAAGACCCCCCCCCCCCCATAAAGCTGCTGTGCTGCTCGCAAACGGTCACTTCAGTCAGCAAACATCTGAGCATTTCATGGTGGGCAGTAATCTCTGTAGAGCTGTGGCTCAACAAAAAGCTTAGTGGGGTTTTCTTGGTATCAATCCAGCTCCTGAAGGAAAATATTAGATTGATTTTCTGCCTTCGTTTCCTTCTGCTTCTCTTTTTTCACACTTTTATTAAATCTGTTTTTATCCATTTTTTACCACTTCACATTTATATACATTTGGTTGGTTTTAATTGCATTCCTTCAGATATGTCCAAGTACATGTAAAATATCTAGGTTTCTCACGTTGTTGTCATAGTCCAAAACCAAAGTCTTGATTGGAAGTCTAACATCCTCATTTTTGGGCAAATCCCACAATATTCCCCCAGCTGCTTTGTTGCGCTGCCATGCCCTCTGGCATACATCAGTGCAAAGAAAGAAGGGAAAAAAAGGGAGAGAGAAGAGAGGGGATAAGGCTTGGGAAGGAAAAGGTTTTTTACACCCTGCCTTCTCATGCTTTGGCATACTTTGATCTCATTCCTGTCCATGCTGGCTTTCTGCAGTCGCTGGGATGCGACTTCATGCTGGGCCTCTAGTGAGACCTGGATCTGGTTGTCAAGAAAAGAGAAGTCACTCAGCCTGGAAGAGAATTTGGAAGTCTGTGCATGCACGTCTGGGTGTTGAGGGGGAGGAGTTTTGCCTGCTGGTTGATAAAAACATCAAAGCTTATGAATTATTTGATTTACACGGCTCTATTAATCCCATCTCTTTAAAGCTCCTAAACCTAAAATAAAACACGACCAACATACGACTTACAGATACATCATCCTAGATCTGTATCAGCATGAAGAAAGCGTAATTATTTTCTATTTCACAAGCAAGAAATTGTTGGTAAAGATGAATAATTGTGCCTTTTAGCAAGAATAATGTCTTGTTTCTCTCCAAGCAGCAATTTTGGATCATTTTTTCTTCAGAGCAACACAGTGTTAAATTTATTTCTCCTACTTAGAGTTTCATCTCAGGTGGGTATGAACTTTCAGTTCTGATTTGTTTTCCAGTCTGCTCTTTGGAACAGGTGGAGCAAAGTACAATTTTTGCAGGGAGTTTTACTGCTGTGAGCAACCGCCTGCTCCTTCCACATCTTTGCTCTCATTACCACATATCAGACAGCAGGTTTTGAGGGGAAACGCAAACATAATAACCTGATTTTATTACAAATTCAGTAAAAACGGAAGAAAATGAACACGGTTTGTCAACCATGTAAACTTTAGCACTTATAAAATAATAAACAAGAGAGAATATAAGTTAAATGCAAAATTTGGTGCATTTGTAGTGTAAGTGTAATCATTTACTTTATGTTATGCTCTTAATTGCATTTTTATGTGCCTGGAGCACCACTTCCACTGGTCTGTGGAAATAATCTGATACAAAACCAGTTTACCTCACTGAGTCGCATAAACACTACTCAAAATATAAAAACATGTTACTTTTAAATAACTGTGAGCACATTTTGTAAGACATTAAAGAGCAAGTTCACTTTTTACTCACTATTTTCAAAATTATCAGTTTTGAGTTTCAAATTCAGGCTTAATATAAAAACTGTTTTCTACCCCTAATTCCTGCATTAACTTCTGATAGAAAACGCTAGGATTTGAGAATCCAGACAGATCTACATCACACTGCCAGCGTTCATGCACTCACCCGTCTTGACATGTGACGGGGAAGGCTGTTGGTTTAGTGTCCACAGTTAGTAGAAGCTAACTGTTAGCAGTAGCAACTCCACCACTCTTTAGGGCTTGTGTTATTTGTGGAGATAAAACATCAACGTTCCAGACTGAGTCAGTGGTAGAGTCGCATTGCTGTTAACCAGAGGTGAGATGTCCAAAATATCAGGAAACAACACACCAAATCCTGCCGTCTTAAGCTACTTTCTCCTCCAGCTGAATTCTACGTCTTCAAACAGGTGCACTGGAGCTTGTTTCCCCCCAGAGAACGAATTAAAAGGCATCCATTCCTACTAGAGACCACTGCTAATGTATTAAATATGCATAAATTTGACCTTTAAAGAGTATTATTTTACATGCTTTTTGTTTTCAGCCTCTGCAGAACCCTCTTTGGTCTGAGCGTGCCGTCGGGACTGCATCAGTTTGAGGAAACATGTGAAGGACACGCCAGCTCATTCTCTGCGTCGTTCACTACGATGAAAGGACACTCAAACTGCTCTTTTGTTTGTGTGTTTTAGGTGTTTAGATTCTTCTCGTCCAGAAACGGTTCGACCCTGTTTGCTGCCCTGCAGGAAGGACTGCGTGGTGACCCCGTTCAGTGAATGGACAGCCTGTCCATCAACATGCCTCACAGGTAGTGCGCACACTTCTTTCTCCTCAGACTCTCTCCTTCGCTCTCTCTCTCTTTATCTAGATTTCTAATAACCGGATAACCTTTTCAGAATCTGCCAGTCATCTTCATGTTATTAACCTTTGCTCAAGGACTTTTTAGAATGCCATCATTTAAAAAAAAAAAAACTTCATTATGATTGTATGAATGTTGAGTGGCTGCAAATTTACATTATAAAAAGAAAGTTTTATTTCCTAAAAGTTTCTGATGATAGACATAACCTGATTGCAGCATAGAACAGTTTACAGCAGCAAAGAAAAGACAAACTGGTGGTTTTATGAAGAATTTCCAGTCTTGGATCAATAAATGTGCATTAATTGGTAATAATAAACATTTAGCTGCAGATGAAAATTATAAAATGTCCATCCCTTGAGATTCAGATTCAGATTTCAGATTTATTGGCCAATTAAAATTACATTTACAAGGAATTTGGCTTCGGTAGATGTTTGCTCTCTAAAACATACAACAACCACAATAAATGATAATAAAATACCTAAAAACACATAAGAACATGTATACCCACACACATGTTCATTTACTCACACACACACACACACACACACACACACACACACACACACACACACACACACACACACACACACACACACACACACACACACACACACACACACACACACACACACACACATCCATAACAATAAGTATTAAAAACTATAATAAAAGGAAGGTAAAAGAATCTACAGATTCAGGAGAGAAATGGCTGAAGGAAAGAAAAGCTGAGCATACAGAAGAAAATGGAAATTTAGTTGTTTCGATGGAAAGTAGAAATAGAGTAAAAAATATAATTGTTTTGAGAAGTGAGCAGGCATCTCATCTCTGTAAATATGCTGTAGTCCATTGGGCCTGCTGACGATGTAATCACTTTCTTAATTGCTGCATTTTCAATGTTTTGTAATTAGTGTAATGTAATGAGCCTTGGAGCTGGAGCCAAATGAAACCATTACAGGGTGGCGTGTCCGAGAACAGACTGCAGTGAAGTGGAGGACATCACAGCCATCAAGGGCACGCTAATCAGAATCAGATCAATTCCACGGCCACTTGTTTCTTCTGCTGTTTCTTTGACACGTCGCACTATGCTGCTGAATCTTCATCCGTTTGGAGTCCAAGACAATTACAAAGAACTTTGTTCATTTTGGATTCCACTTCTCTAAATTCCTCGTGCAAATATTTTGTCTCCGTTCTGAGACTTTTGTGTGAAGAGTGTGTTTTTTGTTTACCAGATAATTCCACCGCTGTCTCTCAGTCTCGGTACAGAACCGTCATCCAGAGGGCCGCCAACGGAGGACAGGAGTGTCCCGACACAGTGTACGAAGAAAGGGAGTGTGACTCAGTTCGTGTTTGCCCAATTTACAGGTAATACACAGTTTATACTCAACTTTCTACTTAATTATAAGTATATGTTGGCTTAATTATGAAACTTTCTAAAAATAAAAGGTTTATTTGCTGCAAAGATGCATTTCTTTTATTATGTTTTTTGAAATAAAAAGTAGTTTTGCACATAAATATATGTTTTTTACTTTAGTTTGAAGTATTTGTATAATATTATAGGAAAATTAAAAATAAATACATTGAACAAAGTCTTATCTGCATTATATAATAAAAAAAATGAAACCTACAGACGCAAAACACCTTTTTAGACAGGTTTAACCAATGTAAAAATGTGTCTAGTGTGTTTTGAGCATATACCGTATTTTCCAGACTATAAGTCGCACTTTTTTCATAATCTGGCTGGTCCTGCAAATTATATACCAAAGTGACTTATATACCAAATTGTGTATACCGTGCTGCTGCGGACCGGCTCCGGACCAGGAATGAGCTCCTCTGCCCCGCCATCACCTGCTGGAGCCTGTGACGAGCTGCTGCGGGCCGGCTCCGGACCAGGAATGAGCTCTCCACGCCCGCTGGGAGGGTTTGAAACACCGCCATCCTCTGCTGGAGACCGTGGCGCGCTGCTGCCCCCTGGTTGTTTATTCTGTTATTGTTTGGCCGGGGATACACCGGCTGCCGAAGCGCAGCGAAGCGCTCACGAAATTCGGCCGCTGCTCGCTGCTCCTCAGTTCAGACCAGACGCTTGTTTCTCCACTCCGGTCGAGGCGTGCCTCGTAGTTTTTCTTTTAACCACTTGGTGTCCTCCATTTCCTCTGCCTTTTCTCTGCTCTTTTCCTCTACACCCCCTCCCCCTTGCTGTTTGTGTGTGTGTTTGTACGCGTGTGTGTGAACCTATGGTGTAAACCAGTTGTTAATAGCTGGCCTACGACTTTCTGCCTCTCTGTCCTGTTTGCTCCGGTTGAAAGACACCCAAAACCACACCCCCTTCACGTGGTCACACACACACACACAAATTCGCTGTGTGTGTTTGTGTGTGTGTGTGTGTGTTCGTGTGGTTTTTATGCAGTGTCTTTTTACAAACACATTTGACTATTGTTGAGTTGTATTTTGAAATGCTTTAGTTTGTTAAATTTATCGGCCTGCCTCTCATGTCTAGGTTTGACTTCCTGCCAGAATTGACGCGGTTCACCCGTGGCTCGCGAAAATATAGAGCAGATGCCGAAACGATCGCTGCACGACACGCTGCACTTTGGCGGCCCATGTGGTCTATAGAATAGGATAACAAGGGCGCAGAATGAAGGCGATCCCCGTTTCGCGGCGCTTCAGCGGCCGGTGTGACCCCGGAGTTACCGGTACTTGTCTTGCAATGTGAAATGCTTGGTCTCAGATTTTGTAAGAAAAATTATAAAATTTGCCCCCAAAATGAGACTTATAGTCCAGTGCAACATATATGTTTTTTTCTTCTTCATTCTACATTTTATGGCTGGTGCGACTTATACTCTGGAAAATACGGTACAGTAAATATGATGGACGGTCACTCTTAGGTTTCTAATGGGCTGAATTGAAGCCAAGTCTCATGAGGCTTTGACGGTGAGATGATTGACACCCAACAAACATAGCTAAAGTAGCTACGAGCTAATAGAGCTAACCAAAGCTAACGAAGGTTGTCGAATTAGGGTTAGCCAGAAAACTAGTACCCTCCACCTTCTAGGCTGTAAGGTGAGGCTGTTTTAATGTGAGGCCGAGGTTGAGGGCTGCACTGGAGCAAGCAAGAGGCAAGCCGCTAGCGCTACCTTTCAATGAAATAGACACGCCCCTAATTATTCATAATTTCGAGCTTTGATTACATCCGAAGGGATGAGTAACAAAAATCCCCTCCCATCCCTGTCCGAGTTGTCGTAACGGTAAACTTGAGCTATTAAACCTAAAATGTTTTTTGAACCAGGCAGTAAACGTGTTTACATTGGAGTCAATGGAAACGTGCTCCTTTCCTGAGCCACCTCCTAGTGGACAAGGGGGACCTACAATTTGTCACTTTCACATTGGCTTCAGTTTTAGCAGGCAGAGTTTGCCTCTTGGTTTTGAGCCATGATTTAAAATAAAGTAAAGAAAATAAAATATTTTAAAGTCTAAGCATAAAGTAGAGATTCTTAACGGGCAGTTTATTATTTTTCAATAATGAGATCCATTAATGCTCACAGATTGTGGCGCTCGAATGAACCACCTGCTATTCTGAAAATTAAAATGGCATCAACAAAGGAACAATCACTTACAACTGTAGGTTTGTCTCTATATTTTCAAGTCAAAGTAATGATTTTAACATGAATGCAAATGAGACATGGAGCTAGGATGTTTAAAACATGCTGTAAAGATGCTAATAAAACCCTTTTTTAAACACGGTAAAGCGTCACCGTCTAAAGTCTTGCTGTGTTTGTGTTCCGTTGTAGGTGGAGGATGCACAAGTGGCACAGTTGTACTCTGGTCCCCGATTCTGTTAGACGAGGATTATCTGGATCAGGGGAAGCCTGTGGAAATGGTTTAGAAACAAGAGGCAAGTGTTAACCCTGACCTTTTGTCATTTCTACACTTTCTATTCTCCAGACAGCAGTTGCCACTTTCTATCACCTGCTTAAAGCTTCTTTTTCATTTTTCTATCTTCTTAACCTCCATCCTCCTCCTGTTTGTGCTTACAGACTCAATGACTTTATTAGAAGTGCTCTTTATTGAAGGTATGGAAACTATAAATACCATTTAACCAGTATGTATTCTTTTGTGTTCTACTTCCATGGTATTAAGACAGCTTGTTATTAAAATAGATATACTATGCAAAACACAGAAGTTGTGCTTCCATGTGTGCTTCCATGTGGGTCTCAACTGCCCTTAAAAACACTCCAACCATAAAAAAAATTCTGTCCGTCCGTTTCTGTAACTGTTTATATGTGTAAAACAAACTGTTTCAAAAAGCCCCCATTTGTGACATCACAAATGTGGAAATTAGCATTGAACCACCTCATCTGCAGTGGCTTTATACCAAGTCCCTCCAGAATATCGGAGCTTCTCAGCTTATAGCAGTCTGGCCGGGGGAGAGGTGGGCGTAGCCAGCAACAGCTTGCTTTCTTAAAGTGACAGAGTCCTGGAACGACTCATTCTGTATGGTACTGAAAATTGTGCATGAAGTTAGATTTACTGTTGATTTACGGTTAATTATTACATCCACATGTATCAATGCACAAGGTAAGAGGTGAGTTAGAAGGAAGGCTGACTTTTCAAACACTTTTAATTGTGCCAAAAGCTAAAATTTAGCCAAACCATCGGCGTCTATTGGAAATATACCTACTTCTAAAGGAAGACCAATAACTCCTTTAAAATGTGTCACGACGTGCCGTTGAGTGGAGCAGAGGTGAGGATCCAAATGCAGGGGAAGCAGGTAGGCAGGCAAAATGACCAGAACATTCAAAGGGTTGTAATGAGACACGCAGGACAACGAAACAATGAACCGACAAAACACACAGAACTGAGAGGGTTTAAATACATGAGAGCTTGGGTGATTGGAAAGCGAGAGGCAGGTGGGAGCAGTTAACAGGGACACATGACTGAATAGAATGGGGAGACAGGCAGGGCGGGAGGAGGGGGACCAGGAAGGAGGGCCGAGAGGAACCGAGGGACCGGTGGAGAAGAGGCAGGGACCAGTAGAGTCTGGGGGGCTGGCATCTGGGGCAGAGGAGGAGGCGGCAACTGAGTCTGGGGGGCCGGCGTCTGGGGCAGAGGAGGAGGCAGCAACTGAGTCTGGGGGGCCGGCGTCTGGGACAGGAGAGGAGGCGACAACTGAGTCTGGGAGGCCGGCGTCTGGGGCAGAGGAGGAGGTGGCAACTGAGTCTGGGGGGCCGGCGTCTGGGGCAGAGGAGGAGACGGCGACGGGCTCTGGGGGGGCCAGCGTCTGGGGCAGAGGAGGAGACAGCGATGGGCTCTGGGAGGCTTGCGCCTGGCGAGGGCAGGACCAGCGGTGACTGGAGGCAGAGCCGCTGCAGGGGGAGTCTCGGCAGGTAGAGGTGACTGGAGTAGAGGCGTCAACGACTTGGGTGGAGGCACCGGGCCGGGCGCCGACGGGACTGGGGGTGCCAGGCCAGGCGCCGACTTGAGTGGAGGCGAATTTGCTGCGGCTGGAGGCGCCGACTTGACTGGAGGCGAATCTGCTGTGGCTGGAGGCGCCGATTTGACTGGAGGCGAATCCGCTGCAGGCAGAGTCTCTTTGAAAGGCGGCACCACTGCAGGCGGGGCCGCTGCCTCGGCTGGAGGCGCCGGACATGGCGCCGACTTCTGGACTGGAGGCGTCGACTGTACTGGAGGCATCGACTGGACTGGAGGCATCAACTGGACTGGAGACGAAGTCGCTGCAGGAGGGGCCGCCGACTGGAGTGGAGGCGGAGCCGCTGCAGGAGGGGCTACTGACTGAAGTAGAGGCGAAGCCGCTGCAGGAGGGGTTGCCGACTGGAGTGGAAGTGGAGCCGCTGCAGGAGGAGCTGCCGACTGGAGTGGAGGCGGAGCCGCTGCAGGAGGGGCCGCAGACTGGAGTGGAGGTGGAGCCGCTGTAGACGGGACCGCTCCCTTGGCTGGCTCCGCCGGACCGGGCGCTTACGACTGGACTGGAGGCGCCGGACCGGGCGCTGACGACTGGACTGGCTGGGCTGGGGGCGGAGCCTCTTGGACAGGTTGGGCCGGGGGCGCAGGACCTGGCAATGACTGGGCCGGAGGCGCAGGACCTGGCGATGACTGGGCCGGAGGCTTAGGACCTGGTGATGACTGGACCAGAGGCGCAGGACCTGGCGATGACTGGACCGGAGGCTTAGGACCTGGCGATGACTGGACCGGAGGCGCAGGACCTGGCGATGACTGGACCGGTGGAGGAGCCAATGACTGGAAAAGCAGGGAGGATAGATTGTCCAGCTGGAACACCTGGAGACTGAGGATCTGACGGAGTCAGACCAGCTCAGCTCAGAGACCGGCGAGCTCTGTTGGATGGGCTGCGGGCTCGGTCACTTGGCCTGGAGATGAGAGCGCTGCTGACTGGACCGGAAGCGGAACCGCTGGCTGGACAGAAACCCTCTCCTGGAGATACGGGAAGGATAGGGTGTCCAGCTGGAACTCCTGGAGGCTGATGAGTTGACGGAGCCGGCCAAGCTCCGCTTGGAGGCCGGCGAGCTCCGTCTGATGGACTGCAGGCTTGGTCCCTCCGCCTGCCGATGAAGGAGGTGCTGACTGGACCGGAGGCGGGGCCGCTGATCTGACTGGGGGCGGGTCCAAGCTGGCGTGCCGAGCCGGGGTGCCAGCTTGGGGTAAGCCATCGGAGCAGGTCCTCCCACGGGAGAACCTCCTCGCTGGATCCTTCGAGAGGTCGGTTCATTCTGTCACGACGTGCCGGTGAGTGGAGCGGAGGTGAGGATCCAAATGCAGGGGAAGCAGGCAGGCAGGCAAAATGACCAGAACATTCAAAGGGTTGTAATGAGACACGCAGGACAACGAAACAATGACCGACAAAACACACAGAATTGAGAGGGTTTAAATACATGAGGGCTGGGATCTTGGGTGATTGGAAAACGAGAGGCAGGTGGGAGCAATTAACAGGGACACATGACTGAACAGAACGGGGAGACAGGATAGGGTGTGACAAAATTGTTATTCCGCTAAATACACAATTCAGGTGATATTCACAGCATCACCCTGAGAACTTCTTATCATTTCTGCTCCCAGCAAGCCTCACTCTGCAATTATAACTGACATTTTTCAACTAAATTTCTGTGACTTTTTAACGAGGATGTTTAAAAGAAAAAGTGTTTGTGGCGTTCTCAGGTTGAGAGCGAGCCTCATTGACCTTTACAGCTTATTTGAATATGATTGCAAAATAGCTAAGTTTAATACCTGTGACATTTCAAATAGTGAAGTAAGAGCCGAACAGTTGTAATTAGTAGACAGGGATTCAAAAAGTAGACTTTTAAACAACAAAGAATTTAGAGGTACTTTAACTCATGGATGGCTGAACTCACTCAGTGAAAGAAAAAAATACATAAATGTCAAATGAGAGTTTAATTAGGGCTCGATAGATGGAACAAGGGTCATAGTGGGGGTCTGGAGGAATTGATTAGGGTGCAGTTTAAGAGTGAAGGACAGACGGTTTGAAGAACTCATTTATTCAAAGACGTTTAGAGATTTGGGCCTATCTCTACTCAACCATTAAATAAAATTAAAGAGTTAGTCACCCTCCATCAGTCTTAAAGTCGCAGTGCGTATTTTTCTTGGCAATGGGGGCAGTAGATACCGAAATTGTTGCAAGCAAGCAGTATTTTGTGATGGAGTAAGATCTTACCAACAGATGCCAATTAGGGTCAAGAAGAAGAAGAAGAAGAAGAAGAAGATATCATTTCTATCATGCCTCTCAAGATAAAAATCATGAGGTGCTTCACAAAATCAAAAAATGTAAAAATATAAAAAAGAATTTAGAAAATGGTTAAAAATATATTTAAAAAGAGAAAAAACAATTGACAATTGTGATTAAAAAATCTTAAGAAAGAGAGAGAGTGAATAGGAAAGAGGGAAATCAGTGGATCCTGAGGAAGGTGGAATAGGTGGGGAGAGCAGAATTAAGAGAGAGAGGTGAAGAAGGTCATACAAAAGCCAGCTTGAACAAGTGAGTCTTCAGCTGCTTTTTAAAGGAGACCACTGAGTCCACTGATCTCAGGCTCAGGGGGAGAGAGTTCCAGAGTCTGGGGGCCACAGGAGCAAATGATCTGTCACCTTTGACCTTTAGCCTGGTGCTGCACAACCAGTAGGCTTTGATCACTGGACCTCAGGGACCTGCTGGGGGTGTAGGGACTAAGAAGATCTCCAATGTAAGATGGTGCTTGTCCATGTAAGGCCCTATAGACCAGAACCAGGATCTTGAAATGAACCCTGAAGTTGACTGGCAGCCAGTGAAGCTGGAGGAGAAGCGGGGTGATGTGGGTGTGTTTGGAGGACTTGGTCAGAAGCCGAGCACAGGCATTCTGAACCACCTGAACCACCCGTAGACGGTTCAGGGAGGTTCTGCTCAGACACGTGAAAAGAGAGTTACAGTAGTCTAAGCGTGAGGAGATGAAGGTGTGGAGAACTGTCTCAAGTTCAGAGTGAGACAGAATGGGACTCAGCTTAGCATTGTTCCTGAGATGGAAGAAGGAAGAGCGAACAAGAGAACTGGCATGAGAATCCAGGGTGAGAGCTGGGTCAAAGGTCACGCCAAGATTCCTAACGGAAGGTTTTGTGTGAGAAGCAAGCTGACCAAGAGAGTCTCTGACTTTGGGAACCAGCTTGTCTGGGGCACAGATGAGGATCTCAGTCTTATCTTCATTCAGCTGTAGAAAGCTCCCAGCCATCCAGGTTTTGATAGAGTCTAAGCAGGTGTGTAACAGCTGCAGCTTAGACTTCTCATGGGGCTTAAAGGAGATGTACAGTTGGATGTCATCTGCATAAAGATGGTAGGAGATTCCTTTGAAGGAGCTCAGGATGTGCTGAAGAGGAAGC